TCTTGTTTCAGATCTCCCAGAGATTTAAGTTGCCAGTCTTGTCCTACCGGCAAAAGTAATTCTTTATATGAAACTTTATCCAATTTAACTCCCCTAGATATCCCTTCTATCATCTGTCCTGGACTTGTCCAGATCGGAATCTTATAATTTAATCCATAATAATACTTCTTCCACACTCGAAGTAAAGCACTTCTCAAAAAAAAAAGAAGAAAAAAAAAGACTAATAGCAATGATCTCATATGGCTTAAGGGGATGCAAGGATCAAACCTTGATGGAACGTCAAGTAAAGGGAGCTTTCAGTAAAGTAAAGTTTGAGAGATGACTGGACTATTCCAGTGATCTGAAAACCTCAGCTATGTTTGAATCAGTGCATAAGAATTATGCTTCGTCACTGAGTCATGTAATTTTGGAGCCTGGGTTTATTGTTCTTGTCCAACCTCACTTTGAAGAGCCGCACGTATTACTTATGATAACCAAAACAGTACGAATTAAGTGGAGCAAATCACAGTAGCAAACAATACCCAGAGAAAATCATCTTTAAGAAACATGGGAAAATAACAATCTTCAGATCCAGCATCAACATTACATGAGGGAAAGAAACCTTCCTTGGGGGCCAGCAAAGACATTATCACAATGGTCTTGTCCTAAGGCTGTACTTCCTTCAATATGTGCATCCCTTTGTGTGAAGGAGGGAGAGGGAAGGAGGGAGGGACAGAGAACTGCCAAAGGTAACAATCATCACCATTTATTCTCTGTTGGGATCAATCTCAGATTATCTCCCACACCCCTACTATATTGTCTTGTCTTACACATAAAGAGTATCTTTGACAGTTAGCAAATGTTCCTTGGTCTTTCTTGATCCTCAGATGAAGGACCAGTTTACTCAATTGCTGTTTCGCAACACTCATTTAGCCACACCAATGAAGAAAGTATGATGTTTTCATACTGAAAACAAAAGCAAAGAATTGGGTCAACTACGTTCCATTCTTAAAAGTAAATATAAGCAAAGGTAGCTGGATGTGCAAGGAGAATCCACACATGCGGAGTACCAGCCAAATAAAAATCTCAATCCTTAATCTCCTTATTAGATCTACTGATGAGAAGCCATTCCCAAGCATCTTTCTGGCGATTGCCATTGCTGCATCTCACCACAGGGAGAGCTGAATGACCAGATCCTTTGCTGTTCATTTCACTTGAAATTGCAGCGAAGGTTTAGCTACTAAAATAGAGAATTAGTTGTCCTCAGAAAATGGCAACAACCAAACCACGTGCACAAAAGGAGACTGCTCTGTAAAT